AATCCCCGAGTGACAACCCTTACTGGTGATTCCTGGGCCCGCCATTTTTTGATTTCAAATTCAAAAAACGCAGATGCGCGCTTCGCGCGTTACATCAACCTGCACGGTGGCGGCATGCAGGCTGCATACACGGCGCACGTACGAGCAAAGGTGCATGTAGAGAGGTGTGCATGTCCTGCCTGCCTATCTTTGCACACACACACTGCCACCGCCGACTGCTATGTGTGCCATCGCATCCCTGCTTCGGCCAAGGATCGTTCGCGGGATCCATGACCACTTCATCAGCGGGTGGGCTGCTAGCACAGTGACGGGCAGCTGCGAACGCACGGGCCAGGCACGCTTTAGTCGGTTGAGGGGAGGAGCTGCGCTGGCTGACACTCTCTCCTCTTCCATTGGGGATTGACCGTTTCGCCATCACCTGCCAGCTCCCAACTTTCAGCTCGCTGAAAGCAAATTGCTCAATGAATTTTCCCATGCCATTGCGAAACCCCGCGCCACTAGTGTTGCCACCACGTGTCCCACGTCCAACGTGGTCAGTCGTGAATCGTGTTGATCACATGATCGATCGCTCTCCTTCCACCATTTACGAAGACCAGCGTGGGGTCTTTGTCACGTCCTCAAAGGACGCACTCCCTGCGAGGCGGCATTTTGTGTGCAAGTGTGGGAGGTTCTCTCCGCGAGACGTTCTGCCGGTGATAGTGGTCTCATGGGGAGAAAACTGCAGTCGACCCTCGTTGCTTCTTGAAGCCATCACCTCCATCGTCGTTGTCGTCTACATGCTCGCGTGTCTGGTGGCCATAGCCATCGTCTACCTCGCTATATTATTGTTGGCGATCATACTTTCAAGATCTCGATTTTTAGAGGCGAATGGATCGTGGTCGCCCGTCGCCTGAGTTCTTGACGGCGAGGATGGACGGACGGCGATTCACGTTCGAGGTCATGGGCGTTTACGACGACGCTATGGATGTGGAACACTTTGCAGTTGAGGGCATTGCTGCCACGCAGATGGACCGATGCGGGGGTGCCCCGCGTGGGCAAGCTCGTCAATGGCCACACGTTGTCGGCACGAATACCCTTACAAGGATATCCGCCCTGGTTTTTGCAAATGAGAGAAAAATGAGTTTGGCTTAAAGTTAAGTATACCGCGCGAGGCGCGACAGCGTCCGCGTGGTGACGATGGTTGGATGGTTGATTGAAACAAAGAGTGTGTGGGCGCGCAGGTTTGATGCGCGTGTGATTCCGTTTCTATCGTTGATCATAAAGTC